TCACTCGCATTGCTTCAATAAGTTGAACATGGAATCCGTTCAAGATTAAACACTCATTCGGCGAACGAAAAGGTAGCTTGTAGAGGAGTAAAGATTCCAGCGCCTGAAATAATAAAATGAATTCAGACATCAGCGGCCAGACTCGCGGCAGAAAACGGCAAGGGTGATGCAGATCTGATAAGGGCCACAACCTCTAAACTCGAAAATGAATTTTGAAAAATCAACCCGTAGAAAATGAGCAACACGAAACAACCAACAAAAATTAAGTTACAGCGTTCAGGGCAACCAAATTGACAGTGAAGTGATCAGCACCACTCACTCTTGGTCGAATTTGCAGGATAATGTATTTCAAATCAAGCGTGACGTCATTGTGAAAATTAATAAGACACCTAATGCATTCGATAACACAATTCCTTTTTTTCTGAACTGTGTGATTTAATTTTCACTGATTTCTTAAATTTGTTTCAAGTCTTCGCTTCCTCACCTTGATGATGCTTCGCCTCTTCCGGGACGACAGACTCTTTTCTTCATCGCGCATGTCTATCAGTACTTGTACAAAACGCGGGTTCGGACAACCCACCGGAGGGGCCGATATCACTTGAGCACTTTGCATTTTTCTTAAGACCACCTGCGGTGCGGTGACACTATCACGACATCTGCGAACACGAAAAATAATTATGCACAGCTCCAATTCCAAATGATTCACACAATCATAGAAAAAAACTCATCGAAAGCAATGAAGGAATTTACTGGATATTTTTCCGCTTTTCGTCGGAAGAAGAAACCCGAGAAAATGCATCCACCAATAAAAACGAATCAACACTGGTTCATCCTCACGAGGAATCCAGTGCATAAGAACCTATCAGCAACTGAATTATTAAAAGTGAGTCCAGCGTGATTGGAAAATTAAGCAAATCGTTCCAGCGTATCACAATCCATGATCATGGAAACTGTTTATGACGGTCACTTCATTCCACGAGAGCCACGATAAAGATAACCAAGGGTTATACTATTCCGGCGTAGGAACATACAGTATCTGGAAGTTGCCGTTCTGAATTCCAGCAGTTTTCATTTGAGACGCAATTTCATTGCGTTCCTCTCACTCGACTTTTCGGGGAAATTTCCATAAAATAAAATAAACAAAAATAAAGCGGTTTACATTTTGAAAAATTGAAGTTGACGCAGAGTTCCAAGAAAAAGAAAAGCAGCTGAAGTTCAAAATATATTTCAATAACAATTTAAGCTCTCATGGTTTCCAACGCAGAATATGTATGCCCATGAAAAAAATTATTGCTGCTAATCAATCAAAGCCGGAGAAATTAAAAACAAAAGATATATCGGTCATTTACTGTTCGGAAGAATCCAGACACTGTATTTTTATTTTTTTTTTTTAATTTTCGGGGATGTGATCCTATGCGAAAATGGAACAACCCTCGTAAATTAATGGATCAACACTTGTAGCTTTAATCGGGACTGAGCGAAGTTTCAAAGGAAAGGTTTCTTACGTCCTACCGGTAAATTATAATC